TGGGGTGGTTTTTTTGTCCACGAGTGTTGGGGGGGGGGGGGGGAGGGAAAGTACACGTGAAAGCTGACAGTTTTAGCTTGGCACTAGCTTAGTCTACTAGAAATCAGAAGCCAAACTCATTCCCTAGGGATATTCATTACTGCAGCTTGAACCTCTGTAGTCCTACACCAGTGGGACTTGACCAGTGCCCAACCAGAGAATTTACCAGACCATGGACGGTCAATATTGTCTAGCACAGAGGTGGGCACTATAACGGTGGGAGTTCTCCCAGTGGGCAGCTGCTGCTGCTATATTTATCAGGTATGGGTGATCGCAGCTCCCATTCTCTGGGAATGGTGATCTGCAGTGAACAAGAGCTGCAATTTCCCCCATACCTGCAGAGGCACGGGCAAATACCACTGTGGGAGGGCTTGCCAGGGACTAACCCTGGCAGACCAGTTCTGGCCAATGAGCCAGTATTTGTCCACCCTGGTCTAGCATCACTCTGAGCACTTTCACTGTTTATTAGGCTCTTAGAAGACATTTAGGAGTAAATTAGAACTAAACAGCATAGAACACTGAAATCCAGGACAGACTTCATGGAACCATGGTAAACGGCCACACCATGGTAAGTGGACCTCTATAGTGGTGTTCTCAGCAGTGCTTACGGTTCCACGCACAGGGCCAGGTAGGCAGGCAGAGCTTCAGAGTCTCAATGCATGGATGAGACAATGATGTAGGGAGGAGGAGTTTAGATTTATAAGGAACTGGGTAAACTTTTGGGTTAGGGGGAGCCTGTACAGAAAGGATGGGCTCCACCTAAACCAAAGTGGATCCAGACTGCTGACACTTAACATTAAAAACTGCTCTGCAACCTTTTTAAACTAAGAGATGGGGGGGAAAGCTGATTGGTACAGAGGAGCATGGGGATCAGACAGAGACATCTCTTAGAGGAGACTCTATTGATAGCAATTGTATAGGTTTTAGTCAGGAGGAGAGGATGAAAGAGGATAAAGAAGGGGCCAGATCAGACAAACATTCACATAAAAAAGAATGACACATCAGAAAAGGGCAGACAAACAGTAACAAGTTTTTAAAGTGCTTGTATACAAATGCTAGAAGTCTAAAGAATAAGACGGGTAAACTAGAGTGCCTCATGTTCAAGGAGGATACTGATATACTAGGCATCACAGAAATCTGGTGGAGTGAGGACCAACAATGGGACACAATCATTTCGGGGTACAAAACATATCAGAAAAACAGAACAGGTTATGCGGATGGGGGAGTGGCACTACATTTGATTCTAAATTTTCTTTCACATAAAGTAAAAATCTTAAATGAATCAACATGTTCCATAGGCTCTCTATGGATAGTAATTCCCTGCTCATTAACAATATAACAGTAGGGATCTATTATCAACCACTTGACCAGGACAGTAATAGTGACTATGAAATGCGAAGGGAGATTAGAGAGGCTATCAAAATAAAGAACTTAATAATAGTGGGGAATTTCAACTATGCCCATAGTGACTGAGTACATGTCACCTCAGGATTAGATGCAGAGAAAAAATTTATTGATACCTTAAACAACTGCTTCTTGGAGCAGCTGGTACAGGAACCCACAAGGGGAGAGGCAATTCTCAATTGAGTCCTGAGTGGCACACAGGATCTGGTCCAAGAGGTAACTATAACAGGATCACTTGGAAATAGTGACCATAATATAATAACATTTAACATTCCTGTGGTAGGAAGAACACCTCAGCAGCCCAACACTGTGGCACTTAATTTCAGAAAGGGAAAATGCACAAAAATGAGGAAGTTAGTTAAACAGAAATTAAAAGTAAAATCCCTGCAAGCTGCATGGATGCTTTTCAAAGACACCATAATAGAGGCTCCACTTAAATGTATATCCCAAATTAAAATACATAGTGAAAGACCTAAAAAAGAGCCACCATGGCTTCACCATGTAAAAAAAGCAGTGAGAGATGAAAAAGGCATCTTTTAAAATGTGGAAGTCAAATCCTAGTGAGGTAAATAGAAAGGAACATAAACACTGCCAAATTAAGTGTAAAAATGTAATAAGAAAAGCCAAAAAGGAGTTTGAAGAACAGCTAGCCAAAAACTCAGAAGGTAATAACAAAATGTTTTTTTTAAGTACATCAGAAGAAGGAAGCCTGCTAAACAACCTGTGGTGGCCCTGGACAATCAAGATACAAAAGGAGCACTTAAAGATGATAAAGTCATTGTGGAGAAACTAAATGAATTCTTTGCTACAGTGCTCACCACTGAGGATGTCAGGGAGATTCCCAAACCTGACCCGTCCTTTGTAGGTGACAAATCTGAGGACTTGTCATAGACTGAGGTGTCATTAGAGGAGGTTTTGGAATTAATTGATAAACTTAACAGTAACAAGTCACCGGGACCAGATGACATTCACCCAAGAGTATTGAAAGAACTCAAATGTGAAATTGCGGAACTATTAACTATGGTTTGTAACCTATCCTTTAAATCCGCTTCTGTACCCGACGACTGGAAGATAGCTAATGTGATGCCAATATTTAAAAAGGGCTCTAGAGGCAATCCTGGCAATTACAGACTGGTAAGTCTAACATCAGCACCTAGCAAATTAGTTGAAACAATAGTAAATAATAGAATTGTCAGACACATAGAAGAACATAAATTGTTGGGCAAAAGTTAATATGGTTTATGTAAAGGGAAATCATGTCTTACTAATCTATTGGAGTTCTTTGAAGGGATCAACAAACATGTGGACAAGAGGGATCCAGTAGATATAGTGTACTTAGATTTCCAGAAAGCCTTTGACAAGGTCCCTTACCAAAGGCTCTTATGTAAATTAAGCTGTCATGGGATAAGAGGGCAGATCCTTTCATGGACTGAGAACTGATTAAAAGTCAGGAAACAAAGGGTAGAAATAAATGGTAAATTTTCAGAATAGAGAGGGGTAACTAGTGGTGTTCCCCAGGGGTCAGTCCTAGGACCAATCCTATTCATCTTATTCATAAATGATCTGGAGAAAGGGGTAAACAGTGAGGTGATAAAGTTTGCAGACGATACTAAACTGCTCAAGGTAGTTAAGACTAAAGCAGATTGTGAAGAACTTCAAAAAGATCTCACAAAACTAAGTGATTGGGCAACAAAACGGCAAATGAAATTTAATGTGGATAAATGTAAGTAATGCACATTGGAAAAAATAACCCCAACTATCCGTATAATATGATGGGGGGGCTAATTTAGCTACAGCTAATCAGGAAAGATCTTGGAGTCATCGTGGATAGTTTTCTGAAGACGTCCACGCAGTGTGCAGTGGCAGTCAAAAAAGCAAACAGGATGTTAGGAATCATTAAAAAAGGGATAGAGAATAAGATGGAGAATGTCTTATTGCCCTTATATAAATCCATGGTACGCCCACATCTTGCATACTGTGTAGAGATGTGGACTGATGTGGCCTTGAATCGCATACTAACAGAATACTGAGCACCCACCCAACGTTTAACACCAACAAAGCAATGTGACCAATATTCGTTCATTAATTCGCACTATGCCCCAAGCAA